ATCAGTTGAACAAAGAAGTTGATATCCAAAATGAACAAAAAACAGAATGATATTAACATTCGTAACAGAACCACAATCACTAAATCAGATTTTATGTGATTTGTAAAAAGGTGGTAGACAAATCTTTAAATAATTACATATACGTGCATGCTATACATGCACGTTCAACACATAGTGAATGTCTAATTCCTTTTAACTAAAACCTTAAAGATGGTTGATATTGAAAACCTGAGGAACCATCTGAGTATCAGTTTATGGTCTTAACTCAGCTTGCACCAGTTTCATCTATGTCTATACATTAGGGAAGGACCGAATAATTTCAATGTAATATCTGGTTTCTATTACCTTAAAACACGTTTGATTATTTTTTCCTCCTTTTACAAAGTTTAACTTGCTCCTCCACAAATTTTCTTGTCATAACTTGATGTCTCAATATCCATCAATTTGTTCAAGTTTAATGCTAAAAGCCTTGTTTTCCTATGAGTCAGTGACAAGTGACATAAATGGGTTTGGCCCTATTTTCCTTTTTAGTCCATCTTCATAAACCCAAATAAGGAAAGATATCAACATAGAACTGAATCTTTCCACTCACCAGCTCAAGTATCCATAGATTGGACAAAGAATGGGTCACGTATCTTCTACTACAGATCCCATGAATGCCTCAGAAGAAATTCGTATACGGTCAAGACTGGCAATGCTTGTTCAATCACCAATAGTCATTACGCGAACATTTATCGTCAGTGAAATGATGAAATTTGTTGGAGTATCGTAAAATTATTTGCCTACCACTATTTGTGATATGCATTTAAAGGCAGAGTGACAATCCACACAAACTCGAAGATTTTTCATTATCCTTATGGGCAGTTCTGAAATTCGTACAAGAACAAAAGCAACAACAAGTCTATCGCTGTGATAGCTTAAGAGTTCTTCCTTGTTCTCCCGTTCAAGATCATACAAAGCTTATGATATGATGCGGGATAGGCAATCACTTGATTGAGTTTTGGAGTTCAAATTGAAAAAGTTAACAAGTCAAGGTTCAAGTTTCGTGAAGGGCTCGGGAGCCGAAACGAGTTTGGATTCAAGGTTTGGAAGATATTTGGAAAAAAACGAGTAGCGTGGATGAAAACGAGCATAACTTTCAGCTCGGTTGTCGGATTTTCGTCTATGGGCACAATGACACGAAATTCTGCACAAGACTTCGTGAGCTCATGGTACTTTTGGGCTCGAGATCCCACATAAATATGCCGAGAAAAAGTTGGCGAAATTTTTCTATTTTCGCGAGATTTCCTTGTTAGTCTAAGATTCTATTTTGTTTCCAATTTTGACAATATTCTATGACCTTATTTTTTTATTAGGATTTCTAGCATTACTATAAATATGAGATTTATTTCATTGCAAAACTAAGAACATTTTTGACATTATGAATTAAATGAGATTTCTCTCATTTTGTTCTTGATTGAATATATACCGAACTTATCAAATATTGTTATATTTACCCTTAGAACTTATCAAATGATTATGCACCCTTTGTGGCGTTCGCAAATCGAGGTTCGTAAGTTTTGTAATCAAGAGGTCATTCAAACTTTATTTTTGTTTGATTTCTTGGTTCAATAATTTGCGAGTCGAGATTCTATTGTCTACAACCTGAATTTGGGCTTTCCCGACGTTTTCAATTAATTCCGTGATTTTCACGCTGATCCCGTACCTGGGTTCGTGTCATTTGGTATCAGAGCTTGGGCTCCAGATTTATGTTATATCATTTTTGTTCTTTTCAGTCTTTTGCTGTTCTTCGTGTCCGTCATAAATTTTGAGTCTTTAATCTAAAAAAATTCCTAAAAAAAAGAGTCAAAATTGTTTTGGAGCTAATCTAGCATCCAAATCAACTTTCGTTTATTTCGTTGATATCGTAGTCAATTTTCTAGTTTATAGGTGCTGTTCACGTCGTCACAATTAAAAAAAATTTTTTTTACTTGATTTATTTGAAAAGTTGACTCTATCATATTATCTATCCAAAATTCAAAATCTATTTATATTCATTCCAATCCAAAAATTCTTGACCCACTATTCTTGAATTTAAATATCGCTCATTCAATTGTCCAAGTCTTTTCTAGAGTCTTCTTGATTAAGCCTACATGTNTACGGTATGCAGTCTGACTATTGATAAGGAGTACATATCAGACTTGACTAGTATCACGATGGTGGAAAAATTGGGATTACCTTTGCAACAACTCTCTAGACCTTATGGGATGACTTGGTCGAAGGAGTGTGGGGAGGTAGATGTAACCAAGCGGGTTTTATTGAATGTCACCATTGGGAGATATAGTGATGAAGTTTGGTGTGATGTAGTTCCATTAAAATCTTTTCAAATCTTGTTTGAGAGACCTTGGAGGTATGAGAGGAAGGCTATTTATTATATAAAAAGAAACATTTATAAGTTTCTTCAGGATGGGATAAAAGTCACTCTGGCTGGTTGACACTAGAACAATCCTTTACAGACCGATGGAAGGTGAGAGGTGAGGCAGAACGAGAAAAGCAAGAGATGGAGATACCACACCTAAGGAGAACACCGGAGTTGAATTGCAGGAGGAGTCCAAAAATAAAAAGTTGAGATGGAAGATGGTGGATTGAAAAATATAGTTGATATTGGGGAGAGTGAACTAATTAATGAATCGGAGCACGAGCAGATTGATACAAAAACTGTAGAGATTGTTCAGCAAGAGAGTGAGCAAATAATTGCAGAATGTGTTAAGTAAATAGTTGAAAATGTTGTGGAGGAATAAAGAGCAAAGTTCCATTGTTAAGCATGATATAGTGGAGACAATACATTATGAGTACGAAGACCCATATCTCATTGAGGGGGAAGCTAACAAATTCAACATTTTTTTGTTTAATTCTTTCTTTCAGGTGAATCGTTGTATGTAGGAGTTCATACAACAACATCTATAGGTGATTGTGTTTGTATTGTAATACATCCATACCTACAAAATGGATGGATACTGTGTATTGATCCTATGCCATGGAAGGAAATTTTTCCATTTGATCCAGGTGGTGCTGTGATGAGTTGTGTAGCAGGCTGGTTATCCCCTACGTGATCACAAGACACGGATTCGAGGGCGAATTCTTTGGAAGAGAGAGTGGATAATATGAACCGGGATATACAATCAATTGGTCGAGTTTTAAAGTCCAAATTGAAGAAGTTGACAAGCCAATGTTCAAGTTTCATGAAAGGCTCGGGAGCCGAAATGAGTTGGATTCAAGGTTTGGAAGAAATTTGGAAAGAAAATAAGCGGCATGAATGAAAACGGACATAACTTTCAGTTCGATTGTTGGATTTTCGCCCATGAATATATTTCGAAAATGGCACGAAATTCTGCACAAGTTTACGCGAGCTCATTGTACTCTTGGACTTGCGATCGCATAGAAACATGCCGAAAACAAGTTGGCGGAATTTTCTTATTTTCGCGAGATTTCCTTGTTAGTATAGGATTCTATTTTATTTCCTATTTTGACAATATTCTATGACCTAATTACGTTTTATTAGGGTTTTTAGTATTAGTATAAATACGAGATTTATTTCATTGTAAAACTAAGAACATTTTTGACAATATGAATTAAATGAGATTTCTCTTCTTTTGTTCTTGATTGAACATGTACCGAACTTATCAAATATTGTTATATTTGTGGAGTTCAACCCAATTCTTGTAATACATGCTATTCTCCGAACAATTCTTGTTTTTGAACTTCGGTAAATTTCCATATGCAGTGTCCGAACTTTCAAAAATATCTTAACTTAGTAATTAAACTTTAATTTGTTACAATTTGGTCATTGAACATTAATTTTATTTCAATCAGAAGTTTCAAATTTCGTGACTCCATTACACACAGTCCCCCCATATTGATAAACGCACTTAGTCCACTTTGATAGAGATTAAAATTAGATTTTTAGTATAGTTTATTAGAAGTTGATGAAATATTTAAAAGTTGTAGATCATATGAAATATATAATTAAAATTATTTGTTAACTTTGATTTAAACTAAAATCTAGATTTTAATCTCTATCAAATGAGGGGTTAATTGACAACGCACTACGACAAATCTTCCACGTAACCGTTACGTAAAATGTCAACTTACTATTACGTCATATCAAAGATGTGGTAAAATAAAAAAGAAGAATAAAACATGCTTCTATCTTTAAATCTGAAGATACTAATATAACCCACATTTTGTTATTTATTTATTTAGTTGGTTTTTTTGAAGGTTACACCACAGCTATTACGAAGAAATCTATTAAATTATGACCACCAACTGAAGCAATGTTTGTCAATTTTGGGAACAATAAGTGACAAAGCGTGATAGAATTGTCATCTTTGAAACAAAATTGAACATATCGAGACAAATTAAATTTTGTCTAAAAGTTGAGTGATTATGGTTGGAATTATCCTGTAGTACTTGTTAGTTGTTATTAGTGTGCTACTACGGATGCACATTCTTTCCTTTTAGGGCATATATTATGTAGATTTTCCCAAAATGAACTTCGTGAAAATTAATTTATTTAAAGAATGTATAATTAAAAAGTCAAAAATAAATAAAAAATTACGAATCCACCTGCAAAATTATTTTGTTGAAGGAATGTATCATTAAAAATAAGTTTGAAAAAAAAACATAAAAAAATCAAAGAGTCTCTCCACCAAACATGAACTTAATTTTATGTTGATGAATTATACACAAGTCATTAGGAATCAGAAAATAAACTACTAACTACAATTGGAACTGAAAGCTGAATCATATTTTAAGCTTGCTTCAGTTCAATTCACCAGCAAATAGGGTTTCCCAATGAACAAAGTCTGCCCTCAAATCTTATAATAATTTGTCCCAGAAAGACGTCCAAATGTACAAACTTCACCATAATATAGTTTTGACAATTGCACAAAAATAACAAGCTTAAAGCATAATAATAATTAATAATATACAATACATTCTGAAACTGTGATGAGTGAAGTCTAGTCCGTGCCTCTCATTGGGACCATCATATGCTGAGCTTGTGACTAAACATCAACAAATTAAATTAGTCATGAATCAGTTCCAACCATTATATAAATAGAGATTCAAGGAACCTAAAGAAAACTAAACTAATTTCGTTCATCTAGGGAGATGAAGGCGATAGCTATCAATAAACATCAACAATTCGATACTTGGCATCAAAAAGTATGCTCAAGGAGTACATTTTGCAATCATGGAGAATAATAAATCAGAATCAAAGCACTGAACACAAACTCCACCTCTGGACCATAAATGATAGAAAGACTGATAACCTAGAAATTAGCGTTGGAGCATTTAGAAATCCTGAGCATCACAACATACAACACACCTTACATGCCAGTGCGTGTTCAAATATCATGTAGTTCAAACAACACAGGCACTGACTTCATTTAAACTTCCATTGTGTTCTCCGTCTAGGTAGCATGTAATATGAACCAGAGTACAATAGAAAACAGAGTAAAATCAGATTTTACAGTTGTTTGTTTCCATTGAAGTCCAAGTGAATATCTGGAAGAATCTTACATAATGCAGACTGAACAAGGGAAAAAATATACCTGTCAAGGTGAAACTGGGTTTATGTTTACAAATCCCCTATCCCCATCCCAGCTCCTATTATCGTTTGTTTCTATTATTCCCAATTATTGTCTCAGCATTCAATGATATTCTTGTTATGCTTAGAATAAAAATAATTAAGAGTATTTATTCACATGCACACACATAAATCAATTGCCATCACTTTCCAAAAAAAAGAATTAACAAAAATTAACAACTAAAGAAGATCAATAAGAAATGCTAGCAAATCACTCAAAGAGAAACTCCAGAAAACTCATTTGATTAGCCCTACTGTCTAAGTCATAGAAAGTACACAGGAACTTGACAGGCATGAAATTCTGAAACTCGGTTAATCAAATTGACTTGTGCCGGAACTTGTAAATTCATGGAGAAGTTTGTTAAATCCTCTCGAACTTCATCACGATGAAGCTCCTTAAATTAACTTATTCTGGAAATCAACACTCAACAGTTATCCCTACTGAAGGACATATCAAGTCACTCGTCAGAATGATGGTATTGATCCTCTTGATCCACATTCTAGCGACAACATTGTTAACAACCATCTGAAGGGGAAGTTAACAGGACTTACTTAGTGGCACTATATTTAGGATTATTAACAGCGAGTTAACGCAGAATCTTTATACATCCCTATCAAGATACAATAGCAACAGTTTAGACAGTATCTCCGTCATATCTCTCTTCCAAGAAGAGGACAAAAGACCAGCTTTTTATTATAATATCAGGCACAACTAATCATTGTTTTTGAAGAAAAGTGCTCACCAAGAGACCCAAAATTTGTGACCCTAATCAAGGAAATCCCTATTTTTGTGAATGATCAGAACAGTTAAATGTCATATGAATGTATTTTTTTCTTGTTACATGAAGTTGAACAGAAGGAGAATAGGATACAATCTCATAAAGGAAAAAAGTTTTATGTAGCACACACAGCTGGAAAAGTATAAGAAACGCATACAACATACACATTAAGAGTGTGTTTGAGACACATTCTTTTAAAAGAATGTATTATTGAATAGTAGATTGATGGAGAATGTGTGGTTAAAAATGAAGGAAAAGTTATTGATGTGATGGAAAATATTATTTTATCGAAAAATGTGTGGTTCAAAATGAGTAAAAGATTGAGAATGAANGAGTAGAAGAATGAGAATGAAAAAAATAATGTGTACCAAACAGGGCCTAATTATGAGTATTTGATAATTGATAGTGTAAACTAGCTAGCAACATGGGAAGTGAGAACGTAGAGTCATGCACAGAGACATAGAGAGTGGGTACCTGAGAGTTTCCATAATTAGTGACTTGTGAAAATGAACCCTGGTGAGCAAGCTGTACACATACAGGGGATAGTAAATTAGTAATTGCAATAAATATTTGTAACGAATAAGCCTAAATAAAACTCCTGCAAAGGCACACGAGAATATGTAACAGGGTACCTGTGAACTAGTACTAGGTTGTACTGCATCATTTCTAGAAGATCCATCTGCACCCTTTGCTGATGCCTTGGCATCACCCTGTGGAAAAACCGAGTCAAAACATTAAGCTGTCTAATGAAATGAACCAAAATAAAAAACATCGAATGATAAAGTAATTTATATTCACTCACCTCCATCTGTCGTGCCACAAGAAATCAAAAACACCGAAAGCAAAGAACAAAGACATCAGTTGCAACACTTAGCAATATCTAAAGCAAAACTTAAGTAGTATAATTTAGACCACAAACAGGAGCCAGTCTTTATTTTTTAAAAATGGGAATCACCTACCTCTCGGTACCTAGCCAGGTACACCTTAAGTGGATCAATGTAATCTTCGAACCCCAAAGTCACCATAGACCATAACAAGTCATCCCCATTAATTGTCTTTCTTTTCTCTCTCTGGCACTTGTCACTTGCCCTTGACATATAAACAACCAAAATAGTTTCAATTACATGCACACATTCAACACTCATAAATGCTTCCAAAACAGATATGAAAATACAATTTGCAATTGACCTCATTACACATAAAAACAAATTGCACCAAAGACACTCATAAAAAGACAACAACGCCCATAGATGCATGCACATATACAATATACAGTTTTGCGTCTATGTATAACATATACAGATTTTGAGGAATATGCTCGAGTGTGCGTGTTGTTTGCGAATATTGATTTTGTAATCTCCTGCAATAATTACCATGTAATGCCAAGGAATAGTTGCATACAATAGCAAATATATAAAAGATGAAATGATGTGTTTAAATTAATCTCGCACCTTTGGGATTTCTATGCCACGGAAGTAATTAAAAAATAAAAAAGGTAGGGCAAACCTTTTTAACTCTAATTGTGAATCGCCGATGTTCTCCATCATTCAATCAAGTATTCATAAAAACACAAAAAGAAAAAGAAAAGGAAAACGTAATCACACAATGAGCTTAAAGGCATACTCGCTGGTGATGAAGCTAATGAACTCAGAGACGCATTCCTGAACGGTCTCTTTAGCTTCCTTGGCGATCTTTCCATTCGCCGGTAGCGCCTTCTTCATGATCCGACTGATATTCGCGATCGGCAGGAAACTATCCTGCTCCCTAACATTCGACCTAGGGCTGAGGTCCCCACCACTTTCATGGCTGCCGCCGTCAGGGCTGCCCGGCAGCAATCCCTGCATGCCAGCATCCGCCATGCCTCCAAAGCCCTAGAAGACAAAATCCAAATTGAGTGTCCATGGATGAATACGGATATAGATACAATAATTTTTAAGGAACTGTAGAGAAATAAATTAGAGAGAGAAAGAAAGGGGCAAATGAGTACCTGGACTGGAATAAGAGGGAGTATTTGTATTTGGGAGGGAGAAGAGGAGAGTGAATTGGGAGATCGGAGGGTGGAGAAATGGGCAGAGAGGAGACGATTGAGATGAGAGACTGGGAATGGGATTTGGTCTATCTACACCGTCGATTTTATGAATACAGTTGTTAAATTTGATTACCCCACGTGTCAATGCCGATATATCAACGGACCTTATCGTTTTTCATCAGAGCGATGCTATTTTTTAGTATTTTTATCACCGTGTTGCTCGTCTGATTTAATTTTCGATATAACTGGTTTTTAAAAAATTCATAAAATTAACCGTCAAAGTCAACATTTTCTTAGCATTTAAATTTTGGAAAATATTTGTTGTACATCACCATTTATAAAAAAAAAAAAAAAATGTTGAACCCCAACCTTGAGGCCCCCACCCCGCCCCTAGAGTATTGTGAATGAGGTAAATTGCGGGATGTGCTTCAGCAGGTCAGAGTATAAGAGCTGTCATACTGGTGCCCACAAAAAGTCAAATTTCATACCTTATAAGAGGCAGAAATCGAACCCTCACACTGCGACCGTCAGCTCTTAACCACACATTTCATTAATTTTTATCAAAATTTATTTTTTATCTAAACCAAACATTAGCTAAACTAGATAGCACTTTAACTATGGACAACACTGTGCCATCTCGAGCCAGCCTACTACCCACATAGCCTGGGTTGCTATATATCATGAACCATGCTACAATACCAAAATAATTGACATAATGATTGATATAATGTCACATAACACTATATCATTAGATTAAACAGTCGTCTTTTTCATCAAATCACCTTCAACCAACTAGGTTTTTGGCACTACTCATGACATTATTCTTCTGGCAAAGTGGTTTAATACATATATCATTGAATTTAAACTATATGTACATTGTTGTGACATTCTCCCAATGTGTCAAAATTTGCTGATGTAAAAGAGTTGTAAAAATTAATGGTTATAATGTATGCCATGTGTTAAGATGTCAAACTTGATATAAACAAAAATGTACATGTAGTATGATTGTATATTATTAGTGCATTTCTAGAAGCAACCATGCCACATGTATATTATGCCCATGTTTGGGCTCCATTTTTATAAAAACTTATTTTTTTAATACTCATTTTCAACCACACATTCTCATATAAAATAAATTTACGCGTAAATTGAAAATTTTTCCTTATTTTTTAATCACGAATTCTTCAATTTTTTACTACTCAAAAATGCATTTTCTTGGAAAACTGGAGCCCAAAAGGGCTATTAGTTACGTTAAGTTTGACATTCTTTTAGGGAAAATTCATAAATAAGGTTTTTAGTTTATACCAATTCAAAAATCATGTTTATAGTTTGAAAATTCAAAAATCAGGTTTTTTTTTTTTTTAAATTCTAATATATATAATAAATCCACCCCACATGCACCACCCCTACTGCTTCGGGGATTATTCCAGCGACCATTCTGACGACCACTATTCTCCGATTCAGGCGACTATTTCGACGACCATCCCGACGACTATTCCGGCAATCATTTCGGTCACATATTTATAATTTAATTAGTCACATATTATTTTTCAGTCACAAATAATAATTTTTGTAAGTCACAGATTATTTTATGGCCACAGTTCAAAAATTTTATAGGTTACAATTAATTCATTGGTCACAGATTCCAAAATTAGTTGGTCACATATCAAAATTTATAGGTCACACGGTCATAGATTTCTAAATTAGTTGGTCACAGATTTTTTACGGTCACAGATTATATAATTTTTAGGTGAAAGATAAAAAAATGGTTAATTTCATTGGTCACAGATTATTTTTCAGTCACATATTGTCAAAATTTTAGGTCACAGTTAAATAGTTGGTCACAGATAACCAAATACTTGGTCACATACCACGGCACCTCGTCGCTGCCATTACCACCATCGCCACCAACATCACCACCAACAAACCCACCGCCACCGCCCGTTTCGTATCTAAATCCACTGCGCCACCACCATACCCAACCTACAACCTCACCAACAAAACCAATGTCTCCACCGCCAGAAACCACCATAGCCGCAAGACAGATCCAACAAACCTCATCAGATCCACCAACACCACACCACAACCCTGCCACCAACAAAGCCACAAACAACAGCCACACATAGATCTGCCCCTCATTAGATCCAACCACAACCAACTACGAACAATAGCCACACATAGATCCGCCCCACACCCACAGATCTGCCTCCTCTCCGAGCCACAAACCACCGCCGAGCCACATACCCATTTCACTGTAATTTCCTCGTCCACCCAACTGTAATTTCCATGTCGCCACATCCACTAGCGACGCTGCAGAGACTGCAACAGCAGCGACTCAGCAACGGCGCGCTGCTGCCAGCGTCGCTACGTTCAGCAGCTGCAAGTCAGCGCGCGACGCAGCAGCGTCGCACTACTGAACGCTGCGCAGCAACGCTGCTGAACATGAGGGGAAGGGGAAGGGGGAGAGGAAGAAAAAATTAGGGGAGGGGTAGAGAGGAGAAGGGAGGGGAAAGGGAAAGGGAAAGGGGAAGGGGAAGGAGAATGGAGGGAGGCGACGGTGAGGTGAGAAAGGTGAGAGAAATTAATTATTTAGGGTTTGAATTATTTAGGGGTGGATATATAATATTTAATACTTGATTTAATTATTAATTCACTACCTAATTTTTGATTAAATAAAATTCACACCTGAATTTTGAATTTGC